TAGAAGACGGCCTCAGTCCGCGCAAAAGATTGCTCTTGTGTTGGATAAAGCTCCCAGACATCTACAGTCTGACCTGGTTGCATTAGTACCTAAATTGGTTGAGCATTCAGAACATCCATTGGCTGCTGGTGTGCTTCTAGAACGGCTTCAACAGCCTGGTGCTGAGCCAGCACTGCAGATACCTGTAAGTGCAGTGTTATATGTCCCTCCGTGCTACCCTTATTCACTGAATTACCTTTGACCTTCCTGATTTGCTTTAAGGAAAAAATTATGTGTAATGCCTGTGTCCTATGGTTTATGCTGTGCTGAAATTTTAGTTTCTTTTAAAATTTGATTTTAGAATGCTTCTTTCTCTTGATTGGGACATTGTTTTTTCTTTTTCCTTTAGGTTTTTGGTGCTCTTAGTCAATTAGAGTGTGGCACCGAAGTTTGGGAACAGGTTCTATTTAAATCTATTGAGTTTTTAGCAGATTCAAATGATGAGCCTCTTGCTGCAGCTATAGATTTTGTTTTCAAAGCTGGAGCTCAGTGCCAACATCTCTCTGAAGCTGTATGTATCTGGAATGAATGGCCATTGCTCGTGTTTTCTGTAACCTTTGTACTCTATTACTATGTTTACTTTTCTGAGCACTGCAACCTTATTCTGCTTCATTCTATAGGTGAGATCCGTACGTGGTAGGCTGAAGAATTTGGGCATGGAGGTTTCCCCATGTGTTCTTGATTTATTAAGTAAAACTGTACATAGCTGGGGTGATGTTTCTGATATTATACTCAGAGATATTGATTGTGATGATGATGCTGATGATTTCCGCTCAAAAATATCACGTGACCTTTTCTTATTTGGTGAACCTGGCCCTGCTTCAGAAAGTTTGCATCCGTTGGATGAACAAGATTTACATGCTGCTCGTCATTTTTCTGATATTTATATCTTATTTGAGATGTTATCAATACCTTGTCTTGCCGTTGAAGCATCACAGATATTTGAGAGAGCTGTAGCTCGTGGTGCCATCACAGCTAAATCTGTTGCCATGGTGTTGGAAAAACGTCTTGCTCAAAAAGCAAATAGCAATACTAGATTCGTAGCTGAAAGCTTCCAGCATGGAGATTCTGTAATAGATGGAGAAACTAGTGAGCAGCTGAGAGTCCAGCGGGATGATTTTACTGCTATTGTTGGTCTTGCTGAAACATTAGCACTCTCTAGAGACCCTTGCGTTCGAGGATTTGTGAAAATGTTGTATCCATTATTGTTTAAGCGGTATGCAAGCGAGTCATATCGAGCCAGGATGCTAAAAAGATTGGTCGACCTTGTAACCAGCAGTACAGATAATAACCGTGAAGTAGATATGGATTTGGAAATTCTGGTTATGTTGATTGGTGAGGAACAGGAAATAATTAGACCTGTGCTAAATATGATGCGAGACGTTGCAGAACTAGCAAATGTTGACCGTGCGGCTCTCTGGCACCAGTTATGTGCTACTGAAGATGAAATCATCCGTATCCGTGAAGAAAGCAAAGTAGAAATTTCAAATATGATGAAAGAAAAAACTGTTCTGTTACAAAAACTGAGCGAATCTGAAGCCATGAACAATCGCCTGAAGGTATTTGATTCTGGCTTGCCCATGTGCATTTCTCATAAGTTAGAATCAGTTGCCTACGGAATATATATGTGTGTGTGTATATATATATATATGGATGGTGAGATTTAATGAATCGTGTCAAAGAAAACAAGGTGAATTTAAAAACAAATTATTGAAGTTTAACATAAAAGTTACATGATTCTTGTAACTTCTTTTAAACACGAGATAGAAACAAAAAATGTTAAAGAAAGGCTTTTAGAATCGATTCATATCAAGATTGTTAATCTGACAAAAAAATTGACAGATTGAGATGAAGGCTGAGTTGGAGCGATTTTCACGCGAGAAGAAGGAACTTTCTGAACAAGTACATGACATTGATTGTCAGCTTGAGTGGCTTCGCTCTGAGCGAGATGATGAGATTGTGAAGTTAACAACAGAGAAGAAAGTTCTCCATGAACGTCTACATGATGCTGAGAATCAAATTGCACAACTGAAATCTCGAAAACGGGATGAGATGAAGGTATCAATTGATACTTTAAGCTAATGATTATTCAACTAATCACTATCTTTTCTTCATGAGCAGCAATTTGTTGTTTGGATCATACCTATCTGAATTATTCTTTACATATGCACACATACTCCATGAAGAATGGATAATAAATTGAACCGTAACCAAAAGACTAATAGAAAAACATTTGCTCAAGCCAGAAAGTCCTCTAAAGATTTTTGTTGACATCTCTGTTTGATTCTTATCAGTTGAAGGGAAATGATCTGCAAATAAGTTTCTGTATGAGATGTTCAAAGGGATTCTGTAAGCTGAATCCTATTCTAAATTATCTAACTTTATAGTTACTGCATATTGACTTGAATTCATGACTATTATTGTATCTGGTACGCAGCTTTTATTATTGAAAGTTGAAATGTGACATTGATGCTGCTGCATTATGCTTGAAACATTTCTTTTCCATGATATAGAATGCAAAATTTGGACAACTGTGATATAACTGTAGGTGTCATTGATGCCATCAAGTGTTGTACCCATATTGTCTCCTATATAAATATATATTCATGGAAAGCGTTTTTATGATCGTAGATACAAATAATCGGTTGAATGAATAAAAGTTTGATGTTGAAATGTTAGTTTCCTAGTTTGGAATTATAGAAAATGGTAAGTAATGGAAATGAGAAATCCAAGACTTCAATTGAATGAAATAGTTGTGAGGCTTCAAGGGAGAACATCAGTGTACAACATCGAAAAAAAAACGCTCCCCCACAAAAAAGGACCAATAGTGCTTTTGTGAGAGGGGCATCTATGCACGGCTAAAGGCCATAGAATTTGTTGCCTCATCCATCATTGATTGCTATTGCAATTTTCTGTTCTGGAAGAAATAGAAGGATTAAGTTTGCTATATGTCCACATCCTAGTGGAAGTGTAGCTGTGTTCTTTCAAATAGTTGGTTCTTCCCTCGTATGATCACTTTAATCTTGTTAATGAAATCATTTTTTTTTCCTGTTAATGACATCAATCTCTAATGTGGCAGAAAGTAGTGAAGGAAAAAAATGCACTTGCTGAAAGATTGAAGAGTGCTGAAGCTGCTCGAAAAAGGTTTGATGAACAACTGAAACGACATGCAAATGAGAATATGACGAGGGAAGAAATCCGGAAGTCACTGGAAGATGAAGTTCGCAGGCTTACACAAACAGTTGGACAAACTGAAGGAGAAAAGAGGGAGAAGGAGGAGCAGATTGCTCGATGTGAAGCATATATTGATGGGATGGAAGCAAAATTGCAGGCCTGCCAGGTTTTTTTTTTTCTTACTTCGACATGATAGTAATCTTTATGATAGATTTCTGTCAACTCATTTAAATTGCTGCGGTGCCTCCTCTTTGGATTTTTCCTTTCGGGCTTCTCCTCAAGGTTTTTAAAACGCGTCTGCTAGGGAGAGGTTTCCACATCCTTATAAAGAATGTTTTGTTCTCCTATCCAACCGATGTGGGATCTCACAATCCACCCTCTTTGGGGCCCAGCGTCCTCGCTGGCACTCGTTCCCTTCTCCAATTGATATGAGACCCCCCAATCTACCTTTGGGGTTTAGTGTCCTTGCTGGCTCACCGCCTCTTGTCCATCCCCTTCGGGGCTCAACTTCTTCGCTGGCACATCGCCCAGTGTCTGGCTCTGATACCATTTGTAACAACTCATGCCCACCGCTAGCAGATATTATCCTCTATGGGCTTTCCCTTTCAGGGTTCCCCTTAAGGTTTTTAAAACGCGTCTGCTAGGGAGAGGTTTCCACGTCTTTATAAAAAAAATGTTTCGTTCTCCTGCCCAACCGATTAAATTCATGGTTTGATAAGCATAACAATAGAAAAAATCTATTCAATGGTGAAGATGCTTATAAGACGTGATTTATTTTTGTGTTAATACATTATTCTATAGAATTTTACAGAACTTGTTCATCTATCTCCCCAATGTGCCACCGTCAAACTGAACAACTCTATGCCCATGTTGGATTAATGCAACTTTTCCTTCTCTTGCAGCAATATATCCATTCACTTGAAGCATCACTACAAGAGGAAATGTCAAGACATGCCCCTCTATATGGTGCTGGTTTGGAAGCACTGTCAATGAAGGAGCTCGAGACGTTATCTCGAATTCACGAAGAAGGGTTAAGGCAAATTCATACTCTTCAGCAGCGCAAAGGAAGTCCGGCTGGCAATCCTCTTGTGAGCCCCCATTCTCTCTCTCACGGTCATGGGTTGTACACTGCTGCACCTCCCTCGATGGCTGTAGGGAAGCCCCCTTCACGCATGCCCAATGGCTCAGGGATCCACAGCAATGGGCATGTGAATGGTGGTGCAGTTGGACCATGGTTCAACCATTCTTGATTGAACATTGGGTCAAAGCCACAATGGTAACATAGCCATTGAAGCTATAAGATGGATAACATCACGAGAGAAGGATGTTAGTTTTTTGAGTTGGCACCATTTTGACTGGTTTAGCGATTCGGGGAGCGATACGGGAGATCGAATGAAATAGCAAATGGTTTCTGAATATAGGGTTCTCATAGTTGAGTTTGTGAGGATTCTGGTCGATTCCGTTCGTAGTGTCTTGCAGTTTACAAATGCCATTTATGTGTCATCTCTTTTCAAGTCATAAAGTTCATTATAGGGGAATAGGCCGTCCCGGAAAAGCTCTGGTCATTTTTTTAACCATCTTGTTCTCTGATTCAATTTCATTCATGGCTTTATTGAGGTATCCGATATCGACTAAATACACATGTTAATTGGCTGAATTAAGAGACGTTTGTCTCGGTTAGTAACCAAGCATATTGTTTATTCGATACCTCGATATGAATATTGGATGTAAATAGACTGTCTAGTGTGCTAGATTGTTTATCATATCATTGAACGAATAATTTAAAGTAGAAAAAAAAAATCGAATTGGCAGATTATTCCGAGTTGAGAACAAACAAAACAGAAGAATCCCTAGCATAGTAGATTTTTTTTTCCCCTTGTAGGAATCCCTTGAAATGGTTCCATCCTAAAATGCTGTAGATAGATAACTCGTACATGTAGAGTGGACTCAGCCCGGTCTCTTCTCTGAGATATCTGATGCACTGGATGACCTCCATTGCAACATTGTGGAAGCTCATGCTTGGAGCCACAATGCTCGGTTGGCCTGCATTGCTAATATTTCGGATCAATCTACAGACAGTCCTACTGAGGATCCCCACCGGCTTGCCACCATTGAGGAGCATCACTCCACCGTCCTCGGGGTGGCCAACGCCCCTCCGATCACCGGTTAAAAAGGTATTTAAAAAAAACAAAAACAAAGCACACACTGGTTATCAAACAAGAGGTAAGAGATCTTCAGAGCAAGAAAAAGATGTAAATAGTGCCAAGAATAATGATATATATAACAATGTAGCAACCAACTGAAATTGCAAAAATTCATTCATGAATTATTCAAATCATAAAACATCATGCAAACATGTATAGTTTATCACTCTCATCATAATGGAGTGAAGAATAATCTCCAAGAAGATCACAAATTCTGGAGAAAGTTATTAATTCAGCAACAAAAATATCCACGCAACAAGAGCTGCAGACACTGATCTAGTAGCAAAATAGTGTAGAAATTGTTTGGCACATACATTAAAAAAGCAATAGTTGAGTCAGAACTTAACTTTCTAAGCCTCAAGAACACCAAGCTTTCCCAACGCAGTTCCTATGTCAACAATCTTGCAGCCTTCTGCTTGGACGACATTTGGGCTGCTGAATGACACAACATGTTCCATAGGATAGCTTCTGCTGTGAAGCTTGCTAGCATTGCAACCGATCCCCTTTAATATCACCGTTTTGTGAACTCCACCAATCAATCCCTCATAATCTGTGTCCCCACATTCTCCCACAAGCACCACCACTTTCGTCAAGTCCATTCCCCATCGGAGGTAGAGATATCTAGAAAGAGTGTAAAAGTTGTTCATCATCCCAAAGATCAAATAATTTCATTTTCGTTATACAATCAATTTAGTCCCTAACGTTCTCAAATTAAAAATTAAAAATTTATGTCGTGAACTTCGAATTTTTTAAAATTTATAGATCTATTAAACATAAAATTAAAAGTTTAAAGTTTCATCAGACAAAAATTCTGCAGATTTATTAAACACAAAATTAAAAGTTTAAAGTTTCATTAGTACCTATAATGTCAAATGTTTAGAGATTCTATTAGTATTAAATACAAAATTGAACTAAATGAAATAAATTAGACACAAGATTGAAGTAACACAAGCATATCATATCATCGATAAAAAGAAACCGGAGAGAAGGCAAAGGAAAGTTATACCCTCTCCCCTCAAGCCGTACCTCAGAGCTTGGGACCTTGAAGCCAACACAGGGATGACATTCAGCCTCCTTCCATTTTGACAATATAAAGCATGACATCGAAGAGCCTGGATTCTCATCAATTTCCGTAGCTCTTTGACTGGAGGAAGCTGTAAATACATTAATCATCATCAAAATAAATGTAAGCACTCCCCGTCATCCAAACAGATAGTGCAAGAAAAAGGTACGAGAGTGCGGTTCGATTACAAGTGCATGCACATCGAAGAATCAAAGATATATGTTTCTTTTCAACAAATGTTTTCACGCGAAAGATACAAATTACACCCTATTTAGAAGGAAATGAGAAGGATAGAGAAAAACGTTAACATACCATTGACGGATCTCTTACTTCAAATGCAAAACAATGTGAAGTTGATCCCGACTCATCTTCCAAAACAATTTGGCCTTCCCCTTGCTTTTCATTGATGGAAGCAGCCCAACGAACCAATGTTTTTCTCAGACCTTCTCCACCCCAGCGGTAATCAATATGTGAATGATAATCCACATCAGTCACAAACGGAAGCCCAGAAGGATCGTCATTGGAGTTTGAAGATGGATAATAGAGCTCACTTCCGCTGTTACATATGAAAGCATCGAAGTTTGAAGGGCTGAAACCTCCCGAAGTCATTTGAGAGTATACCTCATGTATGCTCAACGATGTCGATAATATGAAACCAATATACCCTGCATTCTTGTCCTTCCCTACTGCTTCTACAACTGACAACGTGACTTCAAGTGAATCAGAGAATGAATCGGAATCCACAGCAACCACAAAGATGGCTTTTTTTCTTACTGCAGGAAATTTACTAGTTACAAGATTCTGGTCCACTTTATCAGTTGAGCCAACCTTGTGAATGCTACCTAAAAGAGCCTTTGACAACGCAAGAATAACATTTTCTGACTTTGTTTTTGCATCAACAGCATTCTCCTCAGGATCTAGAACATTTTCCAATGTCGTACTCCCTTCATTCTTCTCGCAATCAAACGAAAACTTCAAGTTGAGAGATATATCCTGTATATCTCGCAAAGAATCCCCGGGTGAATCTGACCTCAAGTTTTCAAATCTGTCAGCATGTCCTTGCCATTGTGGCTGCCTTGGTTTGCAGCTGACTATTCGAGATAGATATGTTTTGCAATGCTCTGGCCAGGAGAAAAGGTGAATATTTTTTAGACCATTCTGTTTGCACCTTGCCCAGAGTTGCTTATCTGAAACAAGCTTTAAAAGAGCGTCCGAAATGGACTTCTGATCATGAGGGTCAACCAGCAGACCATTATCAAGAACCTGTTGGAAGTTTATGTACAATATTAAATAGCGAGTATGGAAGCTCAACTTGCAGCAAATTCTGACCATATCAGGAACTTTAAACCATTACAAAGTCACCAGCAAAATTAACACACCCGAAGAATATCAACAGGACCGCCATTTTTCGTAGCAACGGTTGGCAAGCCATGAGCTGCTGCCTATTTGGGAGGGAAAAAAGAGAGACAAGAAAATAATGTTTGACTTTTTTTTTCCTCAATAAGTACACATTTGAAAGAACAAGGCAAATGAAGGCAACCACCTCAATCAAAGTAAGTCCAAATGGCTCAATGAATGCAGGATTGATAAAAACACCCTGTAAAAAGAGAGGATATATTGTTGATTGAGACATCTTAATAAAAAAGAGCTTAATGCATTGAAGTCCTCATTCGTGGTCTTTTCTTGGTTGTGAGTGTGCGCATGAGTGAGCGAGAGAGAGAGATTTTCTCATTTAACTTCATCTTAAGTGTGATGTGTGGTTAAAGTAAGGCAAAAAAGAAATGACATTAACATTAATTGTATTTATGTGATTTTTCATATCATATTCTTGAAGTAAAAGGTTAAAAGTTAACCTTCCATATAAAGATGATTACTAAGAGTATACCTTGGTTTTTGCTGCTAGTCGATAAATGTTGGGAACGTCATACTGCTTGTGATGTTTAGGGTACGCCACTTGACCGTACAAGTCATATTTGTCAATTAGTTTAATAATTGATAGAAGAACTGATGCATTTGTGGCAGACATTTCGTCAATATTGTCACGGTTTCCCATTACTAATGTCTGTAACAGGAACAAAAAAAATTAAACTACAATCTTAGGACTTAATCTAATCAAGCCAAACACATACAAGACTTCAAAAGCATACGGAAATTGATTAAAATGTATGCAATTATCAGACTCAAAGGTGTGAGAATACCAGGTTTGCAAACTCCCTCAGTGGACGGCATTCTCCAAATGCTTTGACTAGAGTAGTGATATTCTTTTTTGGGTCTGGCCTTGCAAGTGCAAGTATCATTGGCTTCCGTGGATTAGAAAAGAATCGCATAATCTTGCATTCAAGTCCCCAAGATTACCATTGTCAATAATTCTACACAGTTCACTTACTAGCAAAGTATGACATAAAGAATTGATGAGAGACGAAGTAAAACCTCAGCCAAAATTGGTGGGTCTGAAGAAGCACGACCATCACCATTTTTCTCAACTTCTCCATCCATATCAGCATCTGGTAGAATAACATGATGAAACTCCATTCCAGGAGGAATTACCTGATCATTATGGCGGCAATTAGTACATAAGAATTGCACATTAGTATTAAGATACAATAGGACCAGGGAACTATGAAAATCATTCCTTCAGAAGCAGAAAGATTCAGATGTTGATTAAGAGTCTCAAGATAAACATTTTATTACTCACAACCATACGAGGCATAAACCTGCCATAACAGCTGACTCCTCTTTTTATTCTTGCTCGCAGCTTCCGCTCTATTACTGGATCAAAACCATCATACAGACGCCATTGCTCTTCAATCTCCTGCCTGGTGCTAGTTATAATGATTTCGGAAGCATCAAGACACAGCTCCTCTGCCTCTATCCTCCGCATTATTTTGTAAGTTTCATTTATTTCTTCCCTCGTTTGACGCCCTTGTTTTAGAAGTTGTTCTAGCTTATCCCGCCCAAGTGAGTGACCAGTAAATAGCAATGGAACGTTTAAAGCGCCAGATATAAGAGCTGCGGAGTCACCTGCATCTGCATAATGTCCATGTATAGCCACAGGCCAAACTAATTGCCCACCTCCAATTTGCTCACCAAGAACTTTGGACATCTGGATAATATGGCTAAGAGCACCATCAACAAATTCTGGAATATGAGGCCAAAGAAGTTCTTTTGGAATATACTTGTCCCTTGGCCCAAATGGGACTCGGATAATATAAGCCCCACCACTCTCCCCACGCTCATCTTCGGAATTATCATATTTCCTTGAATTAAGCATCTCTGTTGGCTCACCATAACTCCAATCCACATCAGGAGATGAAACTTGTCTAGTCAGCAAATCAACCCTATATACTCCTGGCATTGTCCCCAAGGCTCTAGCAAGTTCTACAACGTATTTCACCTGATTATAGAAGAACAAAAATGATTGTCGCAGAAAAATGATAACAACACGTGAATGTTGACAGCAGGGTTCATGATAACATACATCACTATCAAGGAGTGTTATCCTAAAATCCAGTTCATTTTATAATTCTCAGTGGCAATTTTCTGCACAAAATTACCTGGCCACCAGTATCAGAATCACGTCCAAGTTCCATGTTTTCACCACGGATCAAGCCATGAAGGCTGCATGAAAAGTGCTGGTTAAAAAGAGCTAAATTCACCAAAGTTAGATATATAATGATGCTACATTCTTTTACTCCCTACTCTGTTTCCTGATAAGTTCAGAACAAAGGGAAAAGAAAAGGAGGCTTAGATTCATGCCTTATTAAAACAATATATAGTTTCTTATCCTTGTGTTGACTAGCCCAGCTTTCCATTGTGTCAACAGAACCAACTCTAGGTACTTTTTCTCCGATGCTATCATTGTGCATTGAGACATCGCTGGGCACATCTCCTTTCTCTCCTTCTGATAATTCTTCTGACATCAAAGCAGTAACCTCTCTTCGTCCTCTTTCATGTTCAAGACGACGTTTAGCAAGACGATATGCTTCTTCTCCTTCAAGCTGGCAAATTAAAAGGCAAATAAATGGGATTGAATTTCATATGAATCTACCATTAATGGTGAGATATTGTTTTTGACTGACTCCCGGCCATTTTCTGGAACCAATTCTCCAACATGCCCTAATTTCTAAGAATCGTTGAGGTTTAGGAACTCTGTTTCATCAATTTCCCAACATAACTAGCGCAAAATCGTATTCTTACTTCGATTTGGAAAGAAAAAAAGCAACCACAGCAAAATACTAGTCATGAACAACAATTTCACTGCACAAATATTCATTCGATAATATGAAACGAGTCATCAGACCGACAGTGCTTTTCGAAGCAACATGAAAGTCACTATGCATCTGAATTAACTAGGAAATGAATTCACAGAGTACATAAATCGTGCATATCATACTCAATCATATTGTAAAATTACAAACGGCAAAGTATATACGAAGAAGAGACATAGAAAACTGACCTGCTTCTTCTTTCGCGCCAAATTCCAAATCCTCCAACACATGTTCTCCAGCCTCGTGTTCCTCTCCTGCGGGCTCCTCGTAGACGCAGCCTAAATCAACGAGAAGAAAATATTACATTGAAAAACCTCCTCACACTCCCATAAACGAACAAAAATGAGAACAATAATCAAAGTAGCGTACTCGAATCCAAGAGCGATAGAGATCGGTTTCATCGAAGCCGGTAATGACCTCCTCAACGAAGTAACGAGTAGGACTGAAGTGTCCTCTCTCCCTCAGCAGAAGCGAGGTCTTAGCATCATCAAGTCCAGGCCCAACGTCAAGTATCGCCTCCAAGTAACTGTTCACCCAATCATTTCCCGCCATTACCACCGCGCTCTAGAGCTCTCCAGAACACAGAAAAACAACGATCCAGCAACGAAAAACTATATAGAGGAAGTCGCAGTGGACTACGCAGGTGCATTGCAGTGCATAAAACAAAAGAGAAACAAATATTCCGCAACTGTCACGATGAATACGATTCCAGTTCCGATTCTGATTCCCGCCGTAACCACCATCGGAGCGCCACCGTAGCATGTGGAAGTCGAATGATTGTAGAAAGAAAATTGACGACAAGGACAGAGAATTTCGCAATAGTGGCGAGGCATATGGAGAGCCGTCAGGAAGAAGTTGGCGATCAGTTTCATATTCTTTTTCTTCTTCCTCTCTACAATATCCAATCCGTTAAATTTTAGTTCTCTAATTTTTTATTTTTTTATTTTTTTATTTTTAATTTTGTGCACAAATTAAAAAAAAAACTATATTTCTAAATTTAATTTAATAAATTAATTAAATGATTTAAAATATTTTTAAGTCAAATTAATATTAAATATTTTAGAGGAATATTACTATGCTCTGACCTTCTTAGACAAATTTTAGAAGAAATAAATATTAATTTTAAAATTGTCTTATATGACAAATTTTGTTAGAGAAATTACATTAAAAAAAAGGATATATTTGTAAATACACTCACTTTTATATTTTTACATAATATATATATATATATATATATATATATATATATATATATTTATTTATTTATTTATTGTGATATCATGGATTTCTTCATACACGATGGGATGTAATGGTAGATTTTTATTTTTAATATAAATATATATATATATATATATATATCGAAAGAGTAAGAAAATTATCGAGTAATATTTTCTAAATAAGTAGAAAAAAATAAATTTATGAAAAACGGTTAAAATGAAAAATAGAATGGAGGAAGATGTGTATTCTCATTGATATTCCTAACTTTTATATATGATACAATCTAGCAACTAATATTTACGAATAATAAAAATATAAATTAATTAAATATTAAAAATAAAATAAAATATACTGTCAATATATCTCAAATATATTTTATAACTAATATATTCCACCAATAATATATTTCAACAAAAAATGCCGAAGGTTACTGTTTATTTTATTATCACAATTTTTTATAATTTACTTAAATTATTATATTTAATTTAAAAACGACTTATATACGTGGAAGTGAAATAAATAATTTATAATATATATTAAAAAAAAAGAATATTATAGATAATATTATAAAATATAATGAATATTTACTTTCTTGGTTTAAATGACCAAAATGTGCATACTTTCTTATAATACTTTTTCACTTTATTTTAAAAAGGGTTGGGGAAAAGATTCGTTGAAATTAGTTTGGTAATTGAAAAACACAATAATTGAAATTAAAATGTTTAAAAATATGAAATATTTTTTTTTTTAAAAAAAATCTTATTAGTATCTGATTCTTCACCCCAATTACAATCTCCCAACATAAGGACCTACCCAATATCATTTATTTCTCTATTTATAAATTTAGTCCATAATAATTCTGTTAAATCTCAAAAATGTTAAAGAAAAATTTAATTAAGATCATCAACATGACCCGAGATATTAACTTCTTTCAGTATGTCACACTCAACGATTCACCAAAAAAAGAAAAAATTACACTTAAGTCATGCACTCACTCAATAGAAATACCCGCTTTTAAAATGAAGACATGGGTCTATTTGATTTTGGACTATCGGTTTATAACTTTTTTTCACCTGCTTCAACTTCTATGAGAATTCTGTGAGACTATTAATTGCGGCTCGTAACTTATGAGAGATATCTAATAGCAAAGGAAAATCGTGACCGATAACTAAAAAAGCTAAAGAGTTTTGATACTTATAGCATTTAGCAACCTTACGAGTTTGACTATTGAAATTTTTAATACTAGAATTGGTTTTCCAATTCCATCCCGAACCGAGAGTTCTCAACACGTTTAGCAACAACTTAACTATGAGCTATTTTAGTGTTTGACCCTAAAACTAAAGTACAGAACAAATAAATGACACAAAATATGAAGGCTAATCTATTTAGGCACAGCCCACAAATGAAAGAGTTGGGTTTTGATGAGAAGAGATGAATAGCCCCACCCCTGACTTCGTATTTCAACCACTTTAATTTAAATTTAAATTGAAGTACCTAAGTATGTTGACGACGAGGCACTGCAGCTTCTGGCGCATCGATCAATAATGAGGAGATTTTCTTATTTATCAATTGTCTCGGAAGAGTGGCTGAGCTGCCCACTTGAGATTCAGATAAATCCGCCCTGATTTTGCTCCTTCCAGTGGATAACAGTCCTGAATTTCCCCTTCCAATATCGCTCTTGTCAGTGTCATTATGACCCTCCCCAGTTTATCCTGTATGTTATAAACATTAAACCAGTGTTTGATGATCAAAAAGAGCCATAAACTTGAGTTTTTTTGAGTTTTTGGATTGATCAACCCAGGCAAGAGATATGATGATGTTTATTTGATATTAAAAGTCGTAATTTAATGTGTTAGAACAAGAGGTGCAATTGCAATATCATTTTTCAATTGATGCTAATAGTTAGTGTGAGATCCCACATTGGATAGAGAAAGGAACAAAACATTCTTTAGAAAGGTGTGGAAACCTCTCCCTATCATACGCGTTTTAAAAACCTTGAGCATAAGTCTGGAAGAAAAAATCCAAAAAAAGACAATATTTGCTAGGGGTGGGCTTGAACCATTACTGTTAGAAAATACGTCTAGTCATTTGGAAATAGAAAATTCAAAAAAAGTTATTCTTCTCTTCTCGCTATCAAAAGTTTAGTGCTGAGTGGCAGGAATCACGACTCTCCGTAATGGTATGATATTGTCCACTTTGAGCATAAGCTCTCGTGGCTTTGCTTTCGATTTTCTCAAAAGTCCTCATACTAATAGAGGTGTATTCCTTACTTATAAATTCATAATCATTTCTTAAATTAGCCAACGTGGGATTCCGTCCCAACAATGAATAAATCATCCTAACTTAGCCAATATGGGATTCCGTTCCAACAAGGATTAGGTAAATATTTTCTTTCTTTCACAGTTTGCATGCAAACTAATATTGAAACCACATCTGTAATTAATGCAGTAAAATTGATTGAGATGGAGAAGATTACCTTTCCAAAAGTGTCATGATCCCAGACCTCTACCATTAGCATGTCGTGTAATGCATCCTCCACCAGAAAGTCAAACGTTTGATTCCAGACAGGATTCAGGGTGTCATGGACAACCTTGTGAAACCATCCAATGTGATTTTAGAGTTCATTCTTGTTAACATATCATTAAGGAAATAGTAATAATGATGATCATTAACAAACAGCTTGAAGGATTATCAACAACAAGAGAAATTTGAAACGAATGATTAGTATGAAGATGAAATCAAAGAATGTTGTGAAAGAACAAGCTGAAACTGAGAATCTCACCCTCGTTTTAACCTTGGTCTCGGATTTCTTCATAATCAGTACGACATAAGGGTCGGCTTTTCCCATGTAATCTACAGCAGGCAAATCTTCAGCAGCTATTACTGTCACAGATAGCACTCCTCTTACAATCGTATCCCTCTTCTTTGGGGAGCTTGGTTTTCTAGAACCTGCATCTTCTGAGCCAGTTGGAGCCGTCTTTAGAACCTTCTCCACTGAGGTCAATGCATAATCTGGGTTAAATGGGTTTTTATGGCGGCCCTGATCAGTGCCGAAAGGATAGTAAAGAAGCTCCAAATGCACCTGTGTACACCGTTAAGTACATTATGTCGTGGATTGTTGGGAATGAGTCTCACATTAGCTAATTTATGGAATGATCATAGGTTTATAAGTAAGGAATACATCTCCATTGGTATGAGATTTTTTGGGAGCCCAAAACAAAGTCACGAGAGCTTATGCTCAAAATGGACAACATCATACCATTTTGGAGATCCATGATTCCTAATATGGTATCAGAGCCATGCCCTTAACTTAGTCATGTCATATCAATAGAATACTCAAATGTCGAACAAAGAAGTTGAGAGTCTCGAAAGTGTAGTCAAAAGTGACTCAAGTGTCGAATAAAGGGTGTACTTTGTTCGAGTACTCCAGAGAAAGGAGTCGAGTCTCGATTAAGGGGAGGTTGTTTGAGGGCTCCATAGGCCTCAAAGAAGGCTCTATATTGTACTTTGTTTGAGGAGAGGATGGTTGTAGATTGTTGGGAGGGAGTCCCACGTTAGCTAATTTAGAGAATGATTATGCGTTTATAAATAAGAAATACATCTCCATTGGTATGAGGCATTTTAGAAAAAGCTCACAGCAAAACCATGAGAGCTTATGCTAAAAGCGGACAATATCATACCATTTTGGAGATCCGTGATTCCTAACCGATTAATCCATTCAATGCATTTCAAATTAAGCTGGAAAGTGAAAACTCAGATATCATGGAGTTCTGACCTGACCCCTGTTTTTGTTATCTCTTTGGATGTCCAAATCTTTGAGCAGCTTCAACCAAACATCCTTCACTTTACCAGGCTCGAGGTCCTTCAATGCTACTTGAGCGCAGCCAATAAGTTCAGATGCCTGAACTCCCTCGTCATCAAAAACTCTTATAGTCAAGTGCTGAGTAGATGCATCTTCAACAATGAAATCAAAGTGCTCATTCCATATTGGATTCAATTGATTATTCTGACCGGACATGACAAAAGAAAAACTCGTTTCAGTTCAGCCATTAAAGACCAAAAACAAAATGAATAGAAAAACTTCGTCTTACAATGGTTTTACTTGTTTTCATTCTCTCTTTCAATGGCCGTACAAACAGCACAGCATAAGGATCCGACTTTCCTATAATGTCTTTATTGGTTAATTCCTTTGCCTGCACGAGCTTCACTTCTAATGTTCCAACAGGCTTTACCTCTAAGTCGCTATAAATAATAAAAGGAAACAACATATATGAGCATGGCATTGTTAAAAGTTAATCGCACAAATTACGAATCTCTATAATGGTATGATATTGTCCACTTTGAGTATAAGTTCTCGTGGCTTTGCTTTTGATTTCTCCAAAAAGCCTCGTACCAATGGAGATGCATTGCTTACTTATAAACTCATGATTATTCCCTTAGTTTAATTAGCTAACGTAGGACTCCCTCCCAACAATCCTCAACATAATCGATGGTTGCTTAACATACCTATAATCTCCTGCTATGATGGGCACAATCATCCGAACCGGCCACGTTATGGTACCTTCAATAGCATCTCGGATTGTTTCCTGGAATAGAAAAGTCCATCAGTTTGGCTTATACTGCAGAAAT